TGGTGACAGTCTTGGGCGGCACTGTTGTCCGCAATGGCGAGACAACGATACACGAGACCAAAGTTATTGGCACTTATATCGATGGCAAATACGCGCAGATTTTGCAAAGTACTGCTCGAGTGGAGGTACCTATCGTTCAGACACCACATATCCGGCCCACACAGACATCCAAAGTGAGCGGTCCCTCCATTTTTGTCGAGTCCCCACTCAAGAAGGCCTACGTTATGGCCAGAGAAGAGACAACTACTGAACCAAAAGCAGCGGAATTAGACGACAACGGAATCCAGAGTTATAGAAAACCGGAACCGCGAAGACTTCACCCGCGACTGGCGTTGAATCCTTTGAGGTCGCGATGGACTCAATCCAATCTACAGAAGAGCGATAAGAGCCAACCCGACGGCACGACTAATGCAAATAAGATCACGAAAGCCCGACTCGGCACACGTCGGTTCTCTCATCCTCCCAGAGCTTCGCCCAAAGTATGATTTCATAGCATTTCCATAATTTTATTTATATTACTTTCCCATTGAGTGACAAATTAATGCATTTTAATTCAAAAGTTCAGACTTTTTAGACAACTCTTCATTGATTTTGAACTAAATTTCAATTTTTGAGAATAAATTCAATTTAAATTAAATTCCATATAAAATAAGAAGAAAATTGATTTATAAGAAAAAACGAGGAAATTATAAATTATAAAACTTTTCTTCACATATCTATGAATGTGTTATTCTTATGAAAGTATTTTAGATAAGAAGTGAATGCTTTTCGTTGTAATGAATAATAAATAGTTGTATTTAAAAGAGTATTGTGTTTCTGATGGACGCGTAGGAGTTCTCCAATACATATCTCTTTTGGCAATAATATAAAGCTTTTTTCTCAACACTTATGTTGTGTTTTAACTATAATATGAATAGAAAAGCGAAAAACAGGTCATTAAACAATTGATTCATATAATGGGAAACCTTATCTCAAATCATGCGTTCATTCAATTTAATGCCTTTTCTTAAATAAGCATATCTTCGGGGAATTTGTTTACATATTATACTATATTATGAGAAAAATAATAACAAAAATACTTGAAACGAAATCAAAATCTGAATTTGAATAATGATTTTAATGCTTAACTCAATGCAGTGTTTGGAGACAATAAACTTTTTTTTACACAATAAATAATTAGAATTAAATACTTTACACTAATTTCATAATAACATGTTTAATAAAGGGATATAAAAGTCTCACAACAGGGTTGTAAATATGGTAATCGTTTGTTGTAATTTACCCGTAAGATTACATTTGCATTCACTCTTTTACTTTCCCATTCTCTCTCTCTCTCTCTCTCTCTCTCTCGCTCCCCTCCCTCTCCATCCTAACCTCGCCTCTCCTTTGCTATTACAAATGTAATCTTACGGGTAAATTACAACAAACGATTACCATATTTACAACCCTGTTGTGAGACTTTTATATCCCTTTATTAAACATGTTATTATGAAATTAGTGTAAAGTATTTAATTCTCATTTCTTATTCAAAACGAGATTTTTATGAAATAATCCCAAAAGGAGTAGCTTTTAGAATATATTAAAGGAATTAATGGTCAAAAACCCTATAAATTGTGTTTTTGATAAAATAACAAAACACTTACTTTTATGTAAATTTACGTAATGTTGCGCTTATTTAGACTGAATTCACCCTAATTTTCATTTTTCGCACATAAATTCACGACATATTCATAAAACTCATTAAAAACAAATTTATAATTTATTTTATTTGAGATTATTTCGCGTGATTTATAAATAATTTGGTTATATTTAACGTAAATCTTATCGTAAATTATGTTTAATTATGAACTATAGGTGCGATTGAATAGATTTAAAGCGAAACTCCCGGCGACTGATCTCGAGGCGCGACAGACCTATAATTCTAGAGTTCAGTCAAGAGTTGACGACCAAAAGAGTGATACAGAAGAGTCTAAGGCTGAGGAAGAGATACAAAATGATGGCGAAACTGTTGCCGAAGAGATCAAAACACCGGAATTATTGCCATCCGAACCAATAGATCCATCGAAAGTGGCCAAAGAGGTGCAGACAATCACCAGTGAAGTGACACAACATGTGAACGGGAATCAGATTCAGGTGAAGACACACACTCACACCACAACCATTCAGCGACCGCTTCATCCGTCGGAGTTTGACACGGATTTAATCGCACCGACAGTTCCGGTGGAGGCCAACGACTTGGACGCCACGTCGGTTCAGGAGACGCCACCACTAGTGGTCTCGCGAACGTATTCAGTGACCGAACGGAGTATGAGAACCACTGTTATCCCTGTGTTTGACGGCACGTCTACCGCCAGCCATACCGTAACCGAAAGTTATTTCATTCGCAAATTGATTACCGTCTATAAGACTCTTCCGCCCGGAGATATGTTTCTTCTGGAAACGGCGAGCAATGCGTTCAACGATACAAATTTCGGAAACGATTTGTCGGCCGCCGAACAAAGTATTCCTTCTCTATACGAAGGTTTGTGTTTTTTATTACTTTTATCGTTAATATTTGAATGTCTTTTATGATTAAATATTAGGCGCGATTGAGATAACCGATGAGCCCGACAACGAGTTAGTGAGCGCCACACCCGTCGCTCAATCGGTATCGGTTCCTACTTTGGAGCCGAACCCTAATATGGGCTTTTTGGCCAACAACCAGTTGCCGCAGTTTGATGTGAATAACCCGCTATTCCTGGCGGCCGCTCTCCAGAACCCGCAGTTGGCGGCCGTATATCTCGGTTTACAACAACTGAAACAACAGCAACAACAACAACAACAGGCGCCCCAATACAGCACAATCACTAAACCGACCACTTATGTGACCACAGATACGGTGTACAACACAAAAGTGGTCAGCTTTTATGACGGCCGCTCCACCCGTTCCCGAACTATTG